CATTGTGTTCTTCTCCTTCCAGGATCCTTTTCCATTTTAAGGTTAGTGAGTGATTGATTGTCGGTAACAATGATGAAGGTGTTATCCATCAGGATGTGGTTGAAGGTGGCAAGAGCATCGATCACTGCAAGGGCTTTCTTATTTGTAGTTCCATAGTTCATCTGTGAATTAGTAAACTTTCTGCTGTGTAATGCCACCGGTTATGCCGTTTCATGAGAGGCCCCTTGTCCAATCCATGCTCCAACTCCAATATCCGATGCATCTGTAATCAGCCATATCGGGTCTTGTTTACTGTAGTCAATAGGCCGTATAACATTGGCATTCTTAATCAATTCCTTGATGTTGGTAAAGGCTTGGTCATGAGTGTAGGTCTAGACAAATTCCGCATTGCTGGTAAGGTCTATGAGCGGTACTGTCACAGTGGCATAGTGTGGTAGGAACTGGGAGATATAGTTGACTAGTTCTAAGAATGGCATGAGTTCCTTTTGATTTCAGGGTGTTGTCCATTCTGTTAAACAGGATATTTTTCCGGGGGCTGTATGTATTCCTTCATTATCTATTACATGTCCCAGGATATCGAGCTTATCGGCAAACAGGATTGATTTGTTTCTTCTAGCTTACAATTTAGCTTCCCTTAGCCTGGTACCAACCAAACCTATATAGTAGGCATGTTCAGCTTCTGAGATTGAGGAGATAAGGATGACGTCAATGTATACCCACACAAAATAGTGGAGGTATTCGCTTAGGAGATTTTCTATAATTTGCATGAAGGTGGCAGGTATATACATATCACCTTGTAGCATAACACGGCTAATAAAACTTCCGAAGAGTGTTTTGAAACTGTTATGGCGTTCACTTTCTGGATCTAACCTTGTTTGGAAGTAGGCATTGCTTAGGTCAATCTTGCTTCGGAATCTAACCTATCCAACTGCATTCAGGATTTGAGTTTAGTTTGGAATAGTGGAGCTGTCCATAACCGTGTTCTTATTCCGTAGTTTGAGGTCGACCAGGGGGTGAATTCTTTTGCCGTCTGCTTTGGGTTGGACAAACATAGGTGCGGCACCTGGTGCTTCCACTTGATAGATGACTCCTCTTCTTTATTGTTAGTTTATCCAGTCACATAGTGGGTTTTTGTATATGTCAGGGATGGAGTAGGTAGGTTGGTTCTTAAGATTAGAGCGGTTTCGCAGATGGATGTAGTGGTTTACTTCTCTCATAGGCGGTAGTTCTTCGGGAATCTGATCAGAGAAAATATCAGAGTACTCATCTAATAGGCGTTGGGCAGTTGCTCCACAGACTGCGGCTTGGTACTCGCCACTTGTTAGCTTGCATGAGACTCTGACCTTCTGATCTGGGAAATCAATGGTTGATTTCCCACATATGATTATGGCTTTGTGGTGGTTCAGGAATGGCATCCCTATCAAGGTATCATATTTGGCCAGGTTTCTGACTAGCATTTCCTGAGGGGGTAGGATGGTGGAGCCAAGCTGGATAGTTGTGCTACAAGTTTTATAGCTTGTAGATCGTGAACCTTTTACTGCCATATTGAGAGGTATGGGTTGGTTAAGGTCTTGAGTTAGGAGTCCGTGGACAAAGATAAAGGCATTGCTGATCATATCTCTTCCAATTGCGCTAGTGTCAAATAGGACTCGAGCCTTCTTGCCATTGATTAGAATAGTACCTTCCAGGGCGGTGTATACTTTAAATGTAGCAGGGGGTTAGATACTATTACATTCCACATTGATATATCTGATATGGATCTCCTCATATTCGCTGGATTGGGCATCAGCGCTATCAGTCTCAATATTGTGGGCCGATGCCTCTTACTTAATTGCTTTTCCTTTCTCTTTCTTCACAGGGTAGTTCTTTACCATGTGTCCTGTTTTTCCGCATTTAAAGCATTCTCCTTTCTGTCATCTCGATTCTTTGGAGGATTTGGTTTTCTTTTTGAAAATGTGTGGAGTATCTTCTTCAGAGTTGTTGGAGGACTTGTGTCATGATTGCCTATTGCTGTTAGGGGATGTCTGTGTCTTGTATATCTTGGTTTCATGGAAGATGGTGTCCTTTCGTTCTGCCCTTGCAATTATTATTACAATATCATCGTCATCTTCTTCGAGTGGTTCTACCTCTCGCCAGAGGGTAGGATGCATGACATCATAGAATCATCACTTAAGAATGTAGTTGGAGATGCTTCCTTTCTTCATCCAGTCCTTATACAATGTCAAATCTGTAGCTACATCTGTGATTCTCTTAACATGCGTTCCATTGACTTGCTAGAGCTTGTTGAATTTGTTGTACAGGAGGTCTTTGGTGATAAAGGATTGGAATCGGCCTTTCAGGTAATTGAGAACAGTGGATCCTCTTAATCTTACATTTCTGCCGTATTCCTTATAGCATTGGTGGTATGCGTCGATTGCCTTTCCTTCATAGAATGATCCAATGAAGAGTCCGGTTGTAGGGTCTTCTTCATCTTTCCCTTGTAGGAGAAGGTAGTGTGTGAGTTCAGTCACCCATCGATCAAAGGCTTCAGGTTTGAGGTCTTTTTCTTCTCCTGTAAACTTCACTGGGAGATGGAGTTTAAACTTAAGGGGTTCAAATGCTACGGGTACTTCCTCTTCTTCCGGCTAGGCCCAAGATTTTCCTCCTCCTGAAGGCCCTCCTCCTGTACTAGCTATATCTGATTTGCTACTGGATTCGGGGTCGATCAGTGGTTCAAGGGAAGGCTTTTTTGCTGGTGTAAATGGGAATTCTCCTGGGGGTTGTGTGTCTTCCATGTTTGCAGGTTCTCCCGGCTCCTTAGCACAATGCCGGGGTTGTTTCTTTCTTGTAAGGTCTTGCCGTGGGATTTGCTTCCCACTCCTGGTCGTCAATGACTCTATGTTGGCTTTGAGATGAAGCCGAATGTGCTATGATTTCACTGCTTCTCTCCCCTAGTGTTCTGAGGTGGATATCGATAGGTTGATTAGGCCTAAATTCAGGGACAGGTTCTTAACCACTTGCTGAGGTTAAAAAAATATAACATGTTCGTGAGGTGCTAATCACATTATTGGTAATAGATATGATAGTTGGCAGGTGGCCTGCTCTTTCAGAGAGGAGGCAAGAGCTGAGAACTAAAGAAGGCTCCAAGGGTGTACTGAGGAATAAAGAAGTAACCGTTCTACCAAGTATATTAAAATACTGCCGGTCGAAGTCTGCCTTTTCTATCGTGGAATCAGGCGATCTTTAAATACACGAATCTGTTCATGTCTAGCATGAATGAAACTAATCAAAGGTATCAATCGATACACTTTGGTGAAACTAATTAAGTATCAAAGTGATACTTAAAATAAAACATAAAACAAAACCAAGTATCAAACGATACTTAAAACAAACCAAATATCAAAGAGATATTTAAAACAAAACATAAAACAAAACCAATAACTGAGTACCCGTACCGGTTACACCAACTAACAAGCATCGAACCAGCTTACTACCAATCTTTGATGATAAAGAGAAAGAGCGACTACAAATTTTTATAACAACTGATAAGACAACTCGACGCTTAGAATGGGAGGATATATTGCAAGAGTTAGGATATGCCTACTCCATTCATACTTTTCGTAATCTATGTGGATTAATGGGATACTATAAGCGGCATCCACAAAAAAAATATGTCATTCTATTTCTTCTCTGTTCCTCTTTTCAGTAGCCTATGATGAAGAGGGATCAGTAACAGGTATTTTTTTGTTTCTTTAAATTCAGTGTTTGCGAAAAAAATAAACCTCTGCAAGTACAATGGTGTCAGGAACAACTTGATTGGATATATGATAATTGGCTCCAAAGCTTATGGACAGATGAGTCTACATTCACAACTGCGGGATTTCACCCTCAACCATGGGTATTGTGTAGGGCTGAAGAAGAATTTCATCCAGATTGTATTGATGAAACTTGGAAGTCAGGGAAGGAAGATGTGATGGTTTGGGGTGGGTTTTGTGGTGAAATGAAGTCCAAGTTATATGTTATCCCCCAAAAATGAAAGTTGACTCTTAGTACTTTGTAACTCATATTCTCGATCCTATTCTTATTCCATTCTGGCATCGAACTTGTGAGTATTATAGATGGACTCAGGTAGTATTACATGGATAGTTGTTTTTAGTCAGATTTACAATTGCTAATAGAAGTAAAATAGGTTGTTGAAGACGGTGCCCCAAGCCACCAAAGGTTTTCAAAGCATTGCCGGGAAATCAACAAGGTTGAGCAACTCCGATGGCCACCTCAATCTCCAGATTTAAACCTGATCGAGGCACTATGGGGTGATATGGAGACAGAATTAGCAGTGACCTTTGGGAGAATTAAGGATATAGAGGTTCTAGTTAAGGCAGTAGAGACTGTTTGGAATTCAATTGGAATGGACCGTTTGGATGGCTTAGTTTGTAGTATGCCAGAACGCCTCAAAGCAGTTATTACAGCAGGCGGTATGGCTACACCATACTAGAATAGGAAAATCTTGTGCTTTCCGATCACTTTTTTCCTCACATTAAAATTGAAACCTAATTGGCTGCTCTCCAGTAGCCTGTGGCAACAATTGGTCAAATTAACGTTTTTCCGATCACTTTTGTCTACACCCTCGTACAATAGATACAAATATTTTCATGGGACCCGTGCCGCCGGCAGCACAGATCCGGGAGGACTAAGGTGGTGGAGGGGGGGGGGTGCGCATGGTGATGCTGGAGTTGGTTTCGGTCCCGGAGGAGTTGTTTGGTGGCAGATGGACACAAGTACCTATGCTGTCGAGTTGAGAAAGGCTGTGCTGTTGCCGAGGTGAGTGGAGAAGTGGGAACCGTGAAAGAAAGAGAATATGCCCTAAAATTGTGTCAGCTCGAGCTAATGCTAGGCTCGGATTTGATCAGACTCTTGATCCGCGGTGACATCTTTCGAGACACAAGGAGACACAACAAATTCAGCCACGGTCAACTACAACATCCTATACTCGTATACTACTGTAGTTCACACAGCCCTGCGGAGCAAACAATTCTATATCTTTTGACTTATGGTAGCTACGTTACATTACAAGCCGCAACTGCCACAACCGCACCAGCATAGGGCGAGATGCTTCTAAGCCCAACACTAATACTCCTCACTGCACCCCTAGCCTTCTTCTTCTTTAAGGCATACTGGGGCGCGGCGAACAGCGAAACAGCATTATTCCACGCCGTCGGAATCCGGAATTGCGTAGTATTGTCACCATACTCTACCCACCAGCAGTCCGTCTGCACAGGAGACAAGCAGACATTCTTCACGCCAACGGCTAGTCAATACGTCAACCTGTCGCGCCCTATAAGTGGGTGAGAACTTACAGTGACAGCAGCACCCTCACCCACCTGCAAAGCCGCAAGAAGGTCTGGATCAATCCCCTCCGACCAAATCCACCCCTTCCATCCCAAAACCCAGGAATTCCCACACCCAAGCGCTAGAATACCGATGTCACTGTAACTCTCCAACTGCCCGGAATTGTCCAGCTCGGTGATCTGGTCCACTAGTCCCTGTGGAAGGTTATTGAAGAATATGCTCTGGTAGGATTGTTCGTTTTCTATCCAGTCATTGGTGCCCCAGAAGGTCTTTTCCTGACCGAATTCTAGCCGGGTGACCTCGAGCCCAGAGTTTGGGTTGTAGCGGAGGTATGGCCAGAGGTTTTGAGGGGTCTCTAGGTGAATTGTTGTCAGAAGTTGGGGAGGGAGGGTGGGGGGGGGAGGCGGTTAAGGTACCCGTTACGACTTCCCCGTTTTCGCCTTTGTATTGGAACCAGTAGTGTCCGTGAGGCCCCAGTGAGAAATTAACTACTGCGGCGGACATTCCGGGTAATCGGACGAGGGCTGTCAACGACGGAGATAGGTTGTTCCTGAGTATCGGTGCTCTTACGTTAGTATGACATTCCGGTTCCTACAGATCAGCACTAGTACCCCAACTCACCAGCTCAAACCCCTTCTCGAGCGCATAAGGTAGCTAGACTGTCCTCTGAAAGACCCAAGTGAGAATTCAAAAGGCATGTTTTCGTGGTTGTGTTCTCTTTTACTTTCCTTTTTCCTTCTTCTCCCTCCGTAGTATATAACACGGGTACGGTTCCCAGGCGCTGCTGGTTCTTATGTAGGACAGGATCGGAATATAAGGTGGAAAGTCTTTTTTTTTTTCCCTCTCTCCTTTATCGCCTGAGGGTGTACGGGTGTGCGGCTGAATGCGGCTCATTGGGGCTTCATGAGTCTCCGTTTTTGTAGCAAGTGCCAGGCTTGGCCGAGGCTTGATCATGCACTAATCGCCACGTGGTGTGGGACTGTTTGGAGATATTTACGGTGGATATGTCTTGTCGAGGAATTGATTTTAGACATGGCGAGTTGCCGGTATAAGTGTTATGGGGTAGTTTATGGTTGGAGTGCAAGGGGAAAACCCGGATGGCCAATCTCTATGTTCTTCAGGGGGACTTTACTAGGTCCACTTCTATATATCATGCAGTCAGATAGGGACGAGATCGTGGCGGCGATAGGTTGCCAGTCTAGGATTGGGTTGATGGTATCACCTGCTGTGTCTGGACCTGGACTTTGGAGATGCTGTAAACTTGACCTTGCTGGTTAAATGCTGTATCATACTCAAGTAATATGCATTTGTCGGATGGAAATACTGGTAATTGGGGGTCACATCAAGCTATTTTGATGCACATCACCACTCGTGCGCCTGCAGTCCAGCGGTGAGCGCATGATGAGTTACTCGTTCTAGGCAAGGAGTACGAGTACTGTGGCCGAGAGCAGGGGTCAAGGAAATATAGCTAAAATCTATGTATGCGAGAAACAGTGCCATCTGAGCCTCTATACCAAACATACCCCCCCGCATTCGGGTACTCTTTGCCTGTAATGAGCACGCGAGGGTAGGTTCTGTGGTACATTATGGAATTGCTGGGATCAATGTATTAAATTGGGGAAACTATACGAGTACTATGTACCGTCCGAATGGAATGATTCCTTTGGTGAAGCGGCAAATGTCTTTTTTATGGTTACTCAATTTCTGGTATGACCTCACAAGCCTTAGCGCCACAGTAGTGGCTTTGCTGGTATCTTTGCCCAGACTGCTTGTGTCCATCCTGTGACCTAATCTTCTTAGCGCACATGAACACCTAGGACTACAAAGCCTCAAAGACTGGGCATTCTTCCTCCCCGTTTCCCTCCATTCCCATCACCAGCCGCGCCAAAATGTCGCAACGATCAAACAGACCGCACGCGCAGGACTACATTGCGAGAATTCGCTACAATAACAGCCTTCCGCCGCCGCCATGCCCACCGAAAATGCTCAACATCCCCAATTCCTCCTTGGCAATGTACTGCGACCCGAGCTTTACCTCCAAGCTTGCCAGAGCTGAAGGCGTGAACGTGGAGATCGACTCTGAGCTGGGAATGCCGTTGGATCTAGTCCACGTACCGAAGATTTTCGATGGGGATCACAGTGGTTTGTAGTCCCCCCCCTCCGCAGAGTCAATCGTTGACCGGTTTTTAGCAATTCTCGCACTCGATCCCGTCCCTCCGATCGATCCGAAAGACCGCTTACTAATGCGTCCTGCTACTGCTTTGGGCAAAACGAATGCTCGCGCGACTGGCTCTGCTGGAAACGTCTCTTTCCTGCGCCGCACGGAGTATATTTCTGCCGAACAATCCAGATCGACCTTTAAATCTGGGGGAAACACGGAACGTTTACTGGCTGCGTCTCGCGCTAAGCGCGCTTCTCGCCCCGAAGACAACGACCCTGTTCGTATCCTAGAGGCCGTCCTCAAAGGTTTCGATGTGGCAAACCCGGAGACAGCGGGACAGGGACACAACGGCTTGGATGCTCTCGCGGTGAGGGACGTTGCCGCAGCAAATGCGGAGAGAAATTGGAAAGAACTTAAACATCCTAGCAAACTCAACCTTCGCGCTGTGGAGACGTACCCACTTCTTCCGGACTTTCAGGCCACTAGCGATAACGGCGGTTACATGGTATTCAAGTTTATGGGTAGTCCGGTGGTACCGGGTGAAAAACGTGATACTAGATTGGACGTGGGCCTTTTGAAGCCAAAAGATAAACCCCTCGATGATGATGGTAATCCCGTTGGCCAGGATGTATTCGATTACTACATACCAGCTTCAGAATCTATCGCCAACAAAGTCAAGGCTAAATTCGCTGCCTATGCCGAGGATGAAGACGAAGAGGATGGCAGGGAAGATAGCGAGGAGTTCAGATATGATTTCGTCCGAGAGTACGAAACTAAAGCTCATAAGCGCTACCCTCCGGATGTCCTTGAGGAAGCGGCATTATTGATAAATAAGGGTGACGATGAAAAGCCCAAAGGCGCCCACTTCTACCCCGTTCTTACCCGCTATACAATTCGCCCCCGTAGAAAGAACAAATACCCTCCTGGGATGCCGTTTCGGCATGATGAGGAGAGTGAGGATGATGGAGAGAAGCCGCCAGAGGTTATGAACCTTAAGGTCAGGGCGCTCAACGAAGTCGAGAGACAGCGTCACGAAGATGTAAAGCATCGCTGGGACAACAAGCCGGAAGGGGGAGGGGAGGAGTGATTCCATTTACTCTAGTTGTAGGCTCTGAAGCAGTAAAGGCCATAAGTCTTGAACGAACCCTAGTGGTTTAGGGGTGATGAGCGTTTTATCTCTTGCTGACAACCTTTTTTTCTTCTCCTTTTCCATCTTTCCTTTTCTCTTTGCTTTAACTTTATGGTTTCTAGATGTTAGTGTTCTCTTTGCCTTTTATGATGGCATTGTACGATAGTTATGGCATTATTATCATGGAAATTTCAATATTGCGTTCTTCTGCTGGCTTTCCTGGCGTTCCGAGTACGTATGATAGTTGAATAGAGACTTTTATAGGGAAGATTTCATCCAAGTCACTTGTCCTTTCATTTTCCAACACCTATAAGTTCGCTTTCAGCCATCAAGTGGGGTTTTCTCCCTGCCCCCCTACGGTCAATTAACCCCTATAATTGTTAGTATGCTGACTTTCTCCCGACGATAATTTCCCCCGGGTTGCGTCCCACTCATCGCTGCCTATGATACTCATTTTTTTTTCCCCCTTATTTCCCTCCCACCGTTTTCCTGCCCACACCACCCCCCCCCCCCGAAAAACTACCTACGTCTTCCTATATTTACTCCCTTGTATCACCAATTTTCCTAACTTCTCGAAGCACATTAACTCTGAATAGTTCCGAAGAAACCCTCTTTTATTCCAACTATTATTGCGAATCCTTCCGCATTCTCGTCAGCGTCATCATGATTCTTGAAAATATCATTAATGTCTCTATCTTGACCGAGTGGGGAGTCCTCCCTGAATATAACTACGTATGCATAGGCTCTTGCCCAACATGCTTTGTCCCAGCATTTCCAGGCCTACCTTGGAATCTGGTGTTCACAGTTGGGCAAACGCCACATCTTCGCGGGTCAATTATCTACCTAGAACTCTCAGTACATGGTCAGAAATTCGGGCATGGAAAACTGATCAATCAACGTTTTCCAGAGACCCAAGATGGGTACCTACCGAGTACAGGTGAAAAATTACGCTTCTACTTTCCTTCCTGGGCATCTCATCAGAAGAGAGAGGATAAATGGAACGCTGAGGACTTTGAGACTCTTGAGTGGATAATCGAGGTTAAGGTTTGGCAGTGTATAATTGAGCACGGATTGAAGCGACCTCTTTCGTCAGCCACGGCGCGCAATGCGGGTCTTACTCCCTCAATGATTTTTGATAAGAATACCTTAGTTGGGGTTGTGGAGAAGAGGGGGGATCTACTAGGTCACATGACCTGGTTCTACAAGCTTCCTGAGTTTTTTTACGGGAGCAAGTTGTGTAATGGCCCAAGTGTTCCTCTTTCCGAAGAAGATGATTCCGGAAGCGAAGCCGAGGTGGAACTTTCTGTTGAACCGCCAGACTACTACTACGGACCTGGTTTTACTAAGGAGCGCATTGTTGAGCCGGTCAATCCACCTGATGGGATAATAAAGAACCTAGAAGACCCTATACCAGTTGGCTGGGAAATCCGCAAACAACATGGGGGCCGTGCATATTTTGTTGACCACAACAGCAGGCAGACAACCTGGATCGATCCTCGCAAGAAAGTGGTCCTTCCGCCCCCAGAGAAGGCTTCCGAAGCTACCTTGGACGGCATTCGTAAACAGTACGCGGATCAACAGATCAATTATGTTCCAAACCGCCTACTGCCAGAAACTCTACCTGCACACACAAGTGCTAATGAGAGTTGGATGGTAGAACTTCTTGCAATCCTCTCGTCCGAGGTGCAGCGCTACCAGATCGGATACAACGCGATGGAAATAACCCTCCGCCTATATGCGAATGGATGTATCGAGAGTTGGGACATGACTCCTGATAACCCGGGCTTTCTGCAGGTGAATCGCGGAGTGCTGTTGGATAATAAGCAATTGGAATACCGCCGCTGTTTAGACTGGCTATCGGAGGTCCCGGTTAGCTTATTGGAACGAGTCGTTATGGTGAAGGAATACACTGTGAAGGAAGTGTTACACCATGGGATACCGGAGAGAGATGTTGCGGAAGAAGATGAGCCAGGTAGTGAGGGTAGGAGAAATGATAGCTTTCCTCTTATTGAGGATGGCCAGCAGACTGAAGAAGGCGTTTTATTAAATAGGGCGATAGATGTTGGAGATGGAGGTGTTGGTGTGAATGACGAGATGAATTCTGAGGAGGAGGAGCGCATGGAAAAAGAGACAGAGGATGCCGGGTCTAGAGTGGGTGGCGCTCTAGAGATTCGTTGAGGTATTAGGTAGGCTTAGGAGCCTCGTGAATAGACCCAAAACTATTCAGGTGTTGAGGTCTAACTAAGGCTTCACGGAAAGGTAAGAGATTGTATATGCTCTCGACTATTTCTCTCCCCTCTAAATTCCTAAGACATCGTTTAACAAGCCTCCTCTGCAGTAATTTTCTCTTCCGGGTACGGTATTGCTTTTATTTACTTTTCCTCGGTTTGTCTGTGCAATTCTGGCCGTGCCGCGATCATTGCTTTTATTCTTTCCTTTTTCCAGGTTATCTAGATGTACAGTACTCTTGGGTAATTTTCGATTTTGGGTCTTGCATTTGCTTTGCATATTTTTATGCTACGCTATCCCCACTATACCTGTGGGATATCCATGGCGGCTTCGGTGTCAAAAGGGGATTATGAATTGTTTCTTGGTCTGGTGGCCATGGGGGTTGCTTTTGCCTTTTTAGGGAAATTCTTGTTTCGTTTATACTCTTGTGGTGAGGAATTAGGTAGGTTGTGGGGGCGCTGACTTTATAAATTATAAAGTAATAAATAAAAGTTAGAGTATATTCGGAGGATGTGATGATGGAGTAATCCCAATTCGCTATCATGTGATGATTGAGAGAATCTCTTACAGCGACCCCAATGGGCCAGTCGGTGTGACCTTGGGTGCGACCGCAATGACTAGAACTTTTCTCAAGACCGCTGAGCAAGATTGAGGGAAACCGGCTTTCCAAAATCTGAGCCCGGCCCGGTATAGGTGATCCGCATGAGCGAGAGTTCGAGCAATAAACTCTGCTCCGCTATCCCTTTAACTTAAGCAGAGCCGCTGTTAGCGTTGACTCGTATTATTTCACTATGGGTGGTAAAAGATAGAATGCATACAGGCAATGGGCAGATATCTTCAGAGTGTCTAAACATCAGCGGGCTTCGCATGTGTATTTGGGGGATTGGCCTGGCAGTGTTGGCTACTGACCCTGATCTGCGGGCCTGACCACGTCTTGGACTGACCGCTTGGGATAACTGATCTCCCGTGAGTTGCTTGCTATATAACCTTGTCCTCCTTGATTTTCTATGATATAATAATACCCAGTGGCTAGACTACAATGTTCCGCAAACAAATCCGTCCCTTCTAAGTCTTTACCTTCCACTATTCTAGAAACCACCTACTATGTGAGTACCCGGACACGATCCAGACCACGAACCAAATAGCATAGCATGCTCTACGGTACCTACCAGTTGGGCAATAACCCGTCGTCTTCCCCTTTCTTAAGCCAGACAGGGCACGAATCACAGTTCATGCTTTTTCCCACACTCAAGATAGGTCGGACCGTGAAGCCCGATTGACCTAATGAAACAATCTGGGAGTTATGATACTGTGCTAGTACTTGTACTGTACGGTACCTATACCGGCGACGAACCCAGATCCTCCCAAATGCAGTCAGTATCTTGAACGCAGATTGTGGGTCATCATACGATTCCAGTTTCCATTCATTAATAAATAAACTGTGGCTTGGGTCGGGATCAATGCTGGATGGGGGTGTTTTTTTCTTTTTTCCTTTTAATCGTTGGGGAAAACGAAAAATATATGATATGGGGCGGCCAATAGGTTAGCAGCAAGTGGTTATTATGGGTGGCAGTGGTGGGGGGCGTTTTGGGGACTAAGTTACTCGACAGCGCCGGCTCGGGGATTAACTCGACTTGACAAGGGAATCAGAAAACGGAGAAGACTACTGGCGCGAAATGAGATCTTGTTTTACTCGATAAGATGTGGTATGGTCTGCGACTATTTCGCGGGGTAATTAGGGCGGTGGCTATGTTTTGTTCTTCCTATCGTACGATACGGGG